ATTATTTAATAAATTAAAATTAACTTATAAAATTAATAACAAATTTTAAGATATTAATTCTCGTTTATTTTAAACAAATATAATTTAAGAATAAAGGTAAAAAATTTTAACATAACATTATATAATTTGAAACATCAAACTTCGATAGTTATTCAATTGTAACACGCATAGTAATTAAATTTTATAATCTAATGATTATAAATTAACTCATAAAGTACATTTTCTCGACTTTTAAATGAGATTCGAATTCTTTCACCCTCAATTTATAATCATGTTTAAAAAAAAAAAAAAATTGCAACGTGCACCTACCAACCCATGACCTAAAACGCTTGGTGGGGGTATTTAATTTTGATCTGACCGTTGAACAACCATAATATGAAATCCTATAGGGCACGTTTGGTGCCTTGGATAAAGTGTGGCATGAGACAAAATTTATGTCCTATCCTATCCCATGGTTTCTCACGTTGGTGAGGTTATGGGATAGGGATTAGACAACTTCTATCCCAAATCATATCCTGTCCCATACTCATTGAAATAAGATTTATCCCATTCCCACCTCTACCCCGGGATTCAATTTGAAGGAATCCAAGCTACCGCGCACTCGTTGGCAAACTACAAATCACTCCGCTTGTCAACCACCGTGGTGGAGATTAGGCTCATTATCGATACATTTTTCTAAGATACTTGTTAGAGACTTCTCAAGAAGACTTTATCCGTTTTCAATACCCAATAATTATTATGAGACACTATTTTATTATTACAAGAACTTAGCATTCTATTTTAATTATACAAGGCATCCATAGTTTTCTTACAAAGATTTATTTCACCTCATTTTTTTGACTCCACCATTTCTTATAAAGAGACTAGAAAGAAAAGGGATTAGGGTGTGTGACATTTCAAAGCAGTTATAGACTTAGCCATTTTTTTATTTTAGTTTATTCAGTTTAGACAAATTCTAGAGGGCATATGACTTAGCTATTTTGGCAATATTTCATAACTTTGACTAGTTTTTATGTTATCAAATGATTTTATTTTTAATAAATAAACTTAGGCATTATTTAGTAAAGTTAACTTATTTTGACTTATATATCAAATTGATGAAAGTTTTAAGTTTGTACACTTGTGAAACCCACTCACAAGCATATGGTGTCTATTCCTCTCTAGCTAGGTTTGGGAGGTGATACTACTAATAGTCACATAATAATATTTATAATGTTACTAATATTAAAATTTAATTGGTTAAAAAAATGTCTCTCCTCTCTTCTGCCTTAATTAGTTCCTCTCTGACCAAACATAACGTGAGAAATATAAAGAGGAAACAATAAAAAAAGCCTCTGAAAAATGGCGTCTCTTTTTATGGAAAAGAAATAACTTCTCTAAGCCTTGATATTCCAAATTAAAGAAACATATTAATCGACCAGTGCATATAAGTGATTCTATATCCCTTTTTCTCTTGCATGTTAGATTCTTTCTCAGTCTTCTCAATGCCAGAGATATTCCTACTTATCTTCACCACGTACGGAAAAGATAATCTCATTTTAACTTTATTTGATTCCTCTCCTTTATGCTTTCTCAACCATTTAAATATTCTGTCTATAAATTTTGCATTATCTGTTTTACTTATAAACTATACTCTGCTTCAATTGAAAGCAATGAAGCAGCACCAAGGCCAGCCAGAAATTGCAACTACGAATGAATCCAGGGATATAGCTGTGCTAGCCCCCGGTGATCACATTTATACTGTTCGGAGAGGGCGCTCGTTCTCTCACCATGGTATGTCTTATATTTTTTTTTCTTAGTTTTCCCACTATTATGTATGCTATCATGAATTTGTAAGATTTTATTCAACACAAAGGACATGATTATCTTCGTAAACATTAATTTTGACATTTTCATACGCATCTAAAACAAGGAATTTACGTGGGAGACGACATGGTCATTCATGTCCAGCCCCCGAGACTATCATACGCAAAAAGCTCAAAGGAAATCAGTAGTTGCCCTGTGGAATGCAAGAAGTGTGGCTACAAGCCAGATTGTGACACCGGAATCATTAAGACCTGCCTCGATTGCTTCTTATATGGAGGTTCATTGTACTTGTATGAATATGGAGTGTCCGATTTCAGGAACAAACCAAGCGGTTCCTGCTGTCCATCGACAGCCTCTAGGACAGGAGATGAAGTTGTTATGGTAGCACATAATATTCTTGAAACGGGTAGCTTTGGTGGCTACAACTTTGTCGCTAACAACTGCGAGGACTTTGCAGTGTTTTGCAAAACTGGCATGGGCGTGAGTATGCAAGCGTTGGAGGGTTTTCAGGCGGCTGCGAGGTTCCTTGGAGTAGGAAGAGATGAACATGAGATTGGTGGTTTAGCACTTTATGGTGCTGCAAAAGCGATCCATGCTGGTATCAACATGATTCGGAAACAACTACTTTGAATTAATTAGGGAAAGCCGCATCGGACCGGTTGCCTCACATGTGGGATATGATTTGTACATGCAACCTGAAAATCATGGCAACTTTTTTAACATGTAAGTTTCAATTTAGGGGAAGGAAAGTTTCAATTGATCGAATAAAGGGTTTCTTATCGCAATGAAATCTCATAATCAGAAAGTGGATATGATATATGGGGTTAGTGCTTTTTTACCCCTCTTAATAATAAAGTAGAAAATTAATTTAAAATTACACTATTTTTTTTTATTATAGAATGGAAGATAATCATCTCTCATCATTTATCCCACCCTACTTGCATATCATGCGACTCAAAATCAGGACATTTTACTTTTAACGGAAAGAAATAACCACCGAGCTATTTAGGTTGTTGACTAAAATTACACTATTTAAATAAAGTATTACATGAAATAATAAAAAATAATTTAATTTATGTTTTAAAAATAGAGTATTTTAATTTTTTTCCAATGTAGGTTTATTGAAACTATATAGATTTTTTTTATATATATAATTTTCCACTTAATTTTTAGAAAGTAATGTGGATGAACACTTTTCCCATTTAGTGTGTGTATATATATGAGTAGAGATTTACTTAATTATATACCAATTTTATACACTACATTTAGACAAAGTGTTAATTATTTATTTCTTTATTTTCAATTATTAAAATTTATTATGAATTTTTAGATAAAAAATAATTATTTTAATAAATATGATAAAAACCATTAAAAATTAAAAAAAATTATTAATATTTTATATAAATGTAGTATATGAGATCTACTTATAAATATATCTTCACTCTATAAATTAATGTGAAAGGCAAAGTTGTCGTTTACACGAAGAAAATTATTTTTATTTGTATAATTTTCTTCCTTCCTCCAAATTTTGTTTGCCAATCCCACTTGATTTTTCCACAGCAATATATAAATAAAAATAATAAATGCTAAAGGCAAAACTGAAGTTAATTTCCCTACAATAACGACTCCGCCTTTGGCTCTTACCACGTCCAAAACCAATGTAGGAGTAACACACGTACGTTGTTCACTTGTTATTGGTTGATTCACCCAAATATAACGGCCCTCCATAAACTATCGATCCTCTCCTTCGTTTGTTTTCCTGCTAACTCCACACAGAGAATTAATTAAGCTAGGGAAAAGAGAGAAAGGCAAGGAGAATGGCTGTGGAGACGGCTGCTGGAACTGGAAACTTAGAGACACAGAAGAAGAACAGAATCCAAGTATCTAACACCAAAAAACCTCTCTTCTTCTACGTTAATCTTGCCAAGGTGAATGTGTGATCCTTAATTTTCCCCTCTAGCTCCCTTTTGATCTCAATCATATCATCTCTAGATTTTGGATCGCAAAATTGCTAGTTGTTGTTAGGATAATTTAGATTTCGTTCTCGAATTTGCCTCTTTAATTCTATTAACATTTTGCAATTAATTCCAAAGTGTTTGAATGTATAGGTATGGTGATAGATCTCTTTTTCTTTTTTTTTTTTTTGTATATTTAATTATTGATTATATAAGAAGAATAACTTTTCTTTATTCTTAAATCCCTTTTCACTTGACTTAAACCCAA